TATGCCCTTTTAGTGTAAATTAAAAAAAAATTCGTTTCATTTGGGGGGGGGGGGGACGATAAGAATTCATTTTCAAAGCAATTCTTGTCAATTGACACTATCCACTCATTCTCTGTATGAACCTAAAAATATCTAATGTTAATTAAAGTAGAGAATACTTTTAATCAACTTTTCGTTCTCTTACTAGAGAGTTTTACCCCAAAATTCCAGTTCTACCACTCACTCTCTCACTATGACTTTAGGGGCCCTATGAACAAGTCAAGCTTGAGATTGATAATACTCTCATTCTTTGTTCACTTGAATGGGACAAGAACCATAGATTTTTGCACATAACAATCACCACTAATTAATAAGAACTACAATTAATATCGCAAAGCTTTATACATATATATATATATATATATATATATTATATATTATCAAATTTCCCTGAATTATCTTATACTACCTTTGCCTTATTTTATCAGATTTGTAACCAATGAGTAACATAAATCTATTTACTCAATGAATGTCTCACGTATTATAATAATTTAGTTATAACTTAATTCTTGAATTTTAACTAAATTGTAATTTAATTTTTAAATTTTAACTCAATACAATTTCATTCTCATAATTTTAATCATTTAAAATATCAGTCACTATATTTTAAAAAATAAAATTATAAAGACTAAAATTTTAAAATAATTTTAATTTTTATAATCTTAATAAAAATTAAAATTTTTAGTGATTTAAAATATTAGTTCCTAAATATCAACATAATTTTAATTTTTATAATTTTATTTTTAAAATATAAGGACTAATATTTTTAAATTTTAAATTAGTTCCTAAATGCAGGGAACTGATATGTCTGAATTAGTTTCTAAATATTTTAAATTTTAATTTTTATAATTTTATTTTTAAAATATATGGTCTAATATTTTAGTGATTTAAAATATTAGTTCCAAAATGTCAACATAGTTTTAATTTTTATATTTTTGTTTTTAAAATATAAAGATTAATATTTTAAATGTTTAAAATTATATGGACTAAATTGCATCGAGATAAAATTTGAATATTGAATTATAATTAATTTAAAATTATAATAAATTAAAGTTTAAGGATTAAATCCTACATGTCGCTTGAATTCGACGACCAACTATGAATAGCATGTTACGTTTGCTAAACAAAGAGGAAACGCCGAGAACATGAGTGTGACTGATTAATGGGAGGGTACGAGAATTGGTCTACCAAACCCCTAACAAAACGGCATTGCATTCACTTCCCATTCTTCTCAAAACGTGGGCATGCTTTTCAACCAAAATATCTAAAATATGGAAGAAAGAAAATTTGAAGGTAAAACTCTTAAAAGTAGTTAAAAAAATATTTTAAAAAAATTCTTCTATTTTTATTCCCTTCCTATTTTCTTCTCATTTTTTGCTTCATCCAAATCACTTCCACTATTCCATATATCTAGATTCAAACTTTTTGTTTCATGAGTGTATAGAAAGTTATAAACTACTAGATTCACTTAATTTTCATAATGTTTTTTATTATGCTGAACTTAAATAGGTTATAACTATTTAAATATGAGCTTTTAAGTTTAAGTTCATGTGAATATAAAAGGTATCTGATTCTTGAGATAAAGCTAGCTTTGTTTGGGCTTGATAATGATCAAATATAAGTTAATAATTCGGGTATTAGATATGTATATTGAAAATGTTTTAACATTGTAAATAAAAGAAAATATATTGAGATAGTTGAATATTACCTCCAATCCAAAATACAGGACATCATTAACTATATATTTATTTTTAATTTATAAGATACTTTTGAATGTGATTTGATGTCACAAAAAATAAAGTTTAAGTAATTATACTTGCTCTAATATTGCATTTCCCTTATCATTATATTTCCTCCCTCTCTATTTAATGTTTCACAAATAAGGCTACATTAAATAAAGGTTATTTTTAAAAAATGTATATTTTTAGTTTGACAAATAAAAATATAAAGTATATTTAATAAAATTTATTTTATAAATTTTATTTAATAAACTTTATTTATATATATAATTTATATAAAAGTGTCTGATTAATTAGGATAGATGGAGAACTTCATAAGGATTAGAAAAGTAGTTAAAATAAATTAAAGTTTTTTGTATCATTAAAATGAAAAAAAAAATCATCACTACTTTTCAAAGTTACTCTCCAATAATCCAATTAATTCATATACCTCAAGCCCCAAAAAAATAATCTCCCTCTGCACTACAATTAATAAAATCATTTGGAAAAAAAAGATATTCTCGATACGATGTAGAAAAGAAGAATTTAGAAATATTATTGTTTTTTTTTAATGTGTCACAGGCTAACACTAACTGTCAGAAAAAAATGTGCTATATTTTGGATCAAATGGAGTTTTAACAATACTTAAATTTGATTAAATAATATTTAAATCTGACCTAATACTACAATATATATAAAATAATTGTATAAAGATACGTTTAATTAATTAATCAAGCAAGGGCCAGCCGGAATGCTGAAGCAACCAAAGCTGACGATTGGCGCTCTGATCACCGGCATAAAGTAACAGAATCACCACCCCACGCACAAAATTAAAAATTCGGATTCCGTTTTGAATTTAATTTAATTTAATAGTGTTTATTATTAAGGTCCATTGGTCAACTTCTTGAGAAAAACCATTGGACACTAAAACGGCAGGAAGGTGCTGGAAGCTACATGTGATGCTTGGCTTCGATGGTTGTCGTTTTGGGTCATGGAGTTTATATGACAGGCGTGTGACGTTATCAAACCTGAAGCCTGAAGGTCGTTTCGTTCAGGTCAGCTTGGAGAAAGAAGGACCCTCTTGTCATTTCACTCTGCTTCGCCGTTACAACAAATGCAAGCAGTTTCTCATTGACTCGGACCAACAACTGAACAAAGCCACCAGTTTGTCCTGTTCATTTATTAATTTTCCAAAATAACCCTCATGAAAATTATGGATTTCAATTTAATGTCATTGAATTAATGGTGATTAATTATGCTTATGTTACAAATTTTATATAGCATTCAAAATATACTCCCTCCAGTATAAAATATAAGCATTTTTCCCTTTTTAATTTTGATTTGTAATATAAGCAGCCCAGTACATGCAAAATAAAATTTTCTCATTTTATCCCTTATATTTATGAACCTAAATTTTAGTATAAATTTATCTTTCACTCGTTCTAAAATGTATTAGTAATTGAGATTAAGAGTAAAAATGAAAAATAGCATATTTTTATGAGAATGTGGACTTTACTGGCTTGCGGATATTTGAGGGAGTAATTTTTTAAAAAAATATTTTGTAATTCTATAATAAAAAAGAGAGTTTAAATATCTAAAATCTAAAATGAAAGGAAATGACGTTGCTGATAGGTTAAATTATTATTTTAAATGACCTAAAAAAGGTTAAATTATTATTTATTTGGATTTATTAATTTTTCAAACTAAAAACATTAGAATGTGAACTATATATAGGTTTTGGTACTGCACTATATGCAATTTTTAGAAACGAGTTACATAAATTATATAGTATTAATTCACTATAAATTATATAGTATTCTATAATATTAATTCACTGAAACTCTCTTGTTAAATCTATCCATCAAATTTTCATCACATAATAAACTCTAAAGAAAATTGACTAGTCCTATGGATTTTTGCTGTGTTTAATTGCAGGGATAAGTTATTTAATTAGATTGTTTATTTACCAATTACGATCTTTGAACAATACGTTAAACTTAGAGTAATATGCCTACCTAACTTTGGCCGGGGAAAAACAGTACAAAACTTGTGCGGTGGAATTTAATCCCCTTGACATTGACATACATACATACATACATACATACATACATATATATATTATATGTATGTATTTTGCCTGTTACAATTGAGATAGTTTTAGTTATTAATTTTTCTTGTATCCCTGTATTGTTCCAATTTTATCAAATGTCTACGAAGGAACCTGTGTTTACTATCTAGTTTTGTTATTATTGTTATTGACGTTTACACTAGACTGACAAAAAATATTTTATCAATTACTACGTTGTTAGCTAAGGGGGAAAAAAAAGCTTCATTTCCTTCCTTCTTTCTTTCTTTTGCTAATTAAAAAAAAAATTATAAACCTAGATTTAAGTAGGGTGCTTTGTTTCACTAGTTAAAAAAGTTGAATTAACTTATTTTAAAATTTTGAATTGGAGTCTAAGCCTTACTAGACAGTGATCCATAAACTCAAAAAAGAACTTAATTTTTTAAGTTATGAATAACAAAATTGTTATTTTCTCAAAGTTAAATTTTCTATTAAGTTTTTAAAAAAGTAATAAATATCCTTATAAGCTATATAATTAAATAATTTTGATACTAACTTTCTTCAAACTTAATGATTAACATGCCTAAAATTTAATAATAAATTTTCTCTGTAAAGGATTCAAAATCTTAAAGTCTTAAATGTAAGATTTATAAAATCTAAACCTTTAAATATATATATATATATATGATTAACATGCCTAAAATTTAATAGTAAATTTACTTTGTAAAGGAGTCAAAATCTTAAAGTCTTAAATGTAATATTTATAAAATCTAAATCTTTAAATTTATATATATATATATATATATATATATTTAATGTTGGAGATCATGAAGAATCAATTGGCTGTAAATCCAATACTATTACCGAGAGCGAACAAGATACAGAGGGCCTTTTGGGAAGTGAACAAAGTCAAAGCTTCAGAAAAAAGATAGACATAAAGCGATTTAATATAGAAACGGCCAAGTCTTGCATGTTTCTTGTAGTAGTGTTTTTAACAAAAAAATTAATTTCCAAATTTATTATGGCCTTTGAACGTTTTCAAGAAATTAAAAAATAAAAAAAACTAGAAAAAGCACCTTATAAAAAGATAACCAAAAAGTTTCTTATATTCTTTCTTTCTTTTTTTATTAGAAAAAAATTAGAGATAAATTTGCGTCCCCTTTATTTATAGTGCTCTCTCAGAAAGAAGAACAAACAGAGTATTCGCTCTCTGTTTTGCGTTCGCCGTGTCTGACTCTGATCTTCTTGCTTCATGGACAAGCGTGAGTGCAAGCTTTGCTTCAAAACCTTCGCTAATGGCAGAGCTCTGGGAGGTCACATGAGGTCTCACATGAAGAAGCTTCCACTACCTTCCAAACCAGAGGAATCTCGATCACCTTCTCCTACCTTACTGAGTTTCGAGGCTGACCCGCCTTCTTCTTCTTCTTCTTCGTCTGAAGATGAAGGAGACAACGGTCTGAGCTATGGTGTAAGAGAGAATCCAAAGAGAAGCCTTCGAGCTGTAGATCCTGAGTTTTCGTTCGTTGTGGATACTAATGGCTCTGTGATCCTCCAAGACAGAGAGAGCGAGACGGAGACCGAGTCATCGAAGAAGACAACTCGAAAACGATCCAAACGTGCTTGGAGACTCGGTAGTTTCGATGGTGATGATTACTACAGTCACAAGAAAATTCAGAAACAAGAAACCGTGGAAATGCTCAAATCGAACGAATTGTGTAAGACCGAGTCGTGGATTGCGGAGGCTGAACCGGCGAGTTCGATCTCCGATACGACCACCGAAGAAGACGTCGCCTACTGCCTTATGATGCTTTCTAGAGACAAATGGAAGGGACAAAACGATCTGAAAGACCAAGACGACGTCGCGGGGGAAGACGACGACGAAGAAGAAGACGATGGTGATGAATCCGAGGGGGCTCTCAAACCGTCGAAATCCAGAGTTCGTGGGAAGTACACGTGCGAGACTTGCAAGAAGGTGTTTCGATCTTATCAAGCACTTGGTGGTCACAGAGCTAGTCACAAGAAGATCAAAGTGGAGCTCGAGAATCATAATAATGATGGAGGCACATCATCTTCTTCAATGATCGATAAGAAAATTCACGAATGCCCTATCTGTTTCAGAGTGTTCTCTTCGGGTCAGGCTCTTGGAGGACACAAGAGGACCCATCTCACTGGTTCTTCGACATTACCGACTCGAGCTTCCACCAAATTAGTTGAAAATTTCATAGACCTCAATCTTCCTGCTCCAACCGATGAAGACGATATGTCAGCAAGATCGACAATTCTGGAGTTTCAGATGCAGAATTCGTCCTCGATCGCATCAGACAGTGGAGAAGTTTCGGTGCGCTAGCACTTTGATTTCTTCAAAGGTAAAAACTAAAAGTTTTGGTCAAATTTTCTGTATAATTTTATATAACTTATATGCTCAGCTTTTTACTCTTTCTTTCCCGAATTTTAACTTGTAATTCGGTTCTCTTAAATTACCATGCTTTGTTTCTGTAACAAATGACTTTTAGCATCCATTAATGGAGGAACCCAACTATTATGCTTAGGGTTGTTAGTTAATTACCGTTTTTTTTTTTTGGTTTAGGGTTGCTACTTTGTTAGTTGTATTCGAACTTTAATTTTTTACAGTTTAAAGAACATGAGATGATGAAATTTTTCTGTATTTTTGGTTTTATTATCTATTTTCTTTTCTCCACTATGCAAAACAATTGCGAAGCATGCGTGTTTTAGTGGACGCTGTTTTAGAATATTAAATAAGAAAGTTATTAAATGTAGAAGTCGCTCTCAGAGGAAGTCGATCAACCTCTGTCAGAAACTAACTTCTACTTTTTTTAGTTCCTTTTTATTGACTAATGTTTTTGTTTTAAATATTATATAAAAATTTAAAAATAATTTTTTGTTGATTTTAATTTTTGGAAATGATTCCATTTGAACGTTATTTCAATTAACCATTTTACTTCTCTGTGCAATTCAAGGAGAGGAATTTTCCTTATTGTTTTGATCATCAAATTGTTTTTTTGAAGAGGGATAAGAAAATATATTCCTATGTACACTTTTCTAGCTTTCCAGTTAGATCAGAACCAGAAGAGACTAATCAAAGATTTGAATCTGATTTTCATGACATTTTCTGGTCAAAAATTTTATTTTCATGAGATTTAATGAAGGTTTTTTTCCACACAAAAAAAATTGCGGACTCTCATGGTCTGGGCACAAATGATGTGTCTTTGAGACTTTGACCAAACGGAAATAAGTAAATTAGAATTTTTTAAGATATGGAATATGTAAATTACCTGAAATGCGATAAATAGGTTCCAGAAACAACCTCAATGTCAATACTTAATATAAAATAAAGTGGCATCCCACATTTTTTCTCGTTGCTGATAGATTAATTTGACCAAGTTTTGAGTTGGATCTGACTTTTGTTTTGGAAAAATAATAATCATATCTTAGATCTTAATTATGCTAAAACATTTTATTATAAGTGTTTAAGAATAGTGGTAATTATTTTTAATTTGAAAAATATAAAATTTTATATATTAGAGAAACGACAAAGACATGGTTAATAGAAAAATTGAATTAATTTCTGACAGTTTTTCTTCCTTTTTTTAACTGAAACTTTCGTGTTGTTATCAGTAAATTAATTTATTATAAAATTTTAAAGTCTAAGAATGAAATTGAATCCAATTCTAGAAATAGTTTGACAGATAATTTACTCAAATTGTTATTATTTTTTCAATATCATAGATTCAACCTAACTTCTGCTCTTACAATGCACATTATAAATTTAAAAAGTTAAAAAAAACTAATATACTTTTTGTTTTATATATCACCTGATTTAATCACTCATTAAGCTGGTAATTGACTTTGTGAAGTTGAATATGAATTATGAAACACTTCCTTATTTCAAGGGAATGATATGATATGATAAGATAGGAATTTTGGTGTGCATGTTTTGTTGGTTTTGTAGTGCTTGGGGGTTGTATTTTATTATTGTGGCTTTGTCAAATTGGTCCATAATGGAAGGCACTGTTGAGTTTTAGACTTTATAGGAGAGGGCTCACATTTTTGTTTGAAATAAAATCTGACTGTTCAACAACTTTACCCATTGAATTAATAAATTTTAATATTAATTTAATAAATGTACTATAAATATGGAAGTTGGTAGCTTCAAATTGTTGGCATGGCTTTAGTGGTTGTGAGAGTAGGACACTAACTCTACCATTTATTGCACTGTTTTTATATCAAACTTGAGTGCATCAGAATATTAAGAGTTTGTTAGTAGTACACTTTCTTTTTATAGAGTTTTCATATTTTACATGGATATAATTTTATTTTATTTCACGTAATTTATTTTTAAATTTTGAGTACAACTATTTTAAATAATTTTTTAATGTTTAATAGAGCTGAAATTTTAAAATTTATTTGCAATGACTTTTATTTTGAAGAAAATATGATAGAATCTGGAACTTTATTTTAAATTGAATGCAAAAATTTTCTTAAATATTTTTTCTTAAACTTTATTTTAGCATTGATTTGAATTTTTTTTAAAAAAAATTGTATCTTTCTTGTTTACCACGTTTGAACCCAATCTTTAATATCTGACCTAGTTAACTTCATATGATTCTACCTAAAATAACATTTGGAATAGTTAAAATTTTTAAATAAAAAATATTTTTGTAGATGTAGAAAAAATTAAAATTATATATATATTTTTGAAAACGGAAAAAGAATACATCAATTCATGAAGTTAGCAAATGAAAAAAAAAAAAAAAAGTCCACGGCTAATTGTTTTAGTAGTAGTGTCACTTCCTTGCTTAGAAGTGGCATTGACATGTTTGTGTGCATGGGTGATATGTGAATTATAATTTTCTATGAGAAAGGACTAAGTTAAAAATAATTTTTAACAAAAAAAATAAAACAAAAGAAAATAAAAGTTGGTCATTGTAATTTGGGTATATTGAAAATAAATACAGTTTCCTTCAAACATATATACTAAAAATTAGAAATTAGAAATTTCAAATCAAGCTCAATATTTGCATTTTTTTTATAAAAATTCAGAGAATACCTTTTCAACTTGATGGTATAAATGCCTAAAAGAATTTAATGTACTTAGAAAATTACCATGATATCAGTAGCTTCTCTATTTGCCCAAATATTCCTCACTTTGGAATCTTCTGCTTATGGAAGAAAAGTGTTCTAATTAGTTTTGAAAAAATATCCACAAACATTCTGAATTGAAGATATTTATATTAAAAGATATAAAATAAAAAATGGTCAGTAAATAAATTCTGAACTATAAAGAGGCTTCTTAAATGTTAAAATTTTAATATGATAATATCTAAAAATAATTTAAAATTTAAAATTATTATAAACATCGTGAATTTAAATGTCCAGACCAGAATTGTAAGCCATGTGCCTTTCTCAAATCTTGTAGGGTGGGCCATCCACTTTTTTTTTCTGCATTTGGTCAAACTTGTTGTACAAATATTCTCTAAAATGCCAATAAATATATTCCCGCATCAATTTAAGATCGATTTACGGAGAATTTTTAAAATGAAATTTGGAGGGAAAAAGTAAATAGAAAATGTCGAAAAATTGGAAGATTCCACTCTCACAAACAGTGAGACTATTAAAAAACATTGAATTCTCACTAGGTTGCAATACTTGTGAAGAAAAATTTGATTCTTTTATAACTAATTAAAACACACACACGCAACCTCAGTCAAATATATACTCTTTTTATTTAAAAATATAAAATATTTTTTAAGAAGTTAAATATTTAAAAGTATAAAGTATTTTTAGTTTTTTAAGGTGTAATCATTATCTTTTTTTTAAGTGTTTTATTAGTGAATGCCTTTATATTTATTGTAAGGTGTTTAATAAGGGTAAATATGAAAAGATAGAGTTAGTTTAAAAGTAGGTAATTACTTTATCAAGGAGTAATATTCGATTAAAGATATTTTATATTTTAAAGGGGAGGATTATATGTTATACCAATTTATGCAATGGTGATATAGATATTATGGTAATTAAAATGCAGAAACTACCAATTTAGATATACTTAGTGGGAGATTAACTTTTCTATTGGTAATAAATATTACTTCACAAAAAATGTAGAAAATGAGTAATAATTTTAAGATTTTTCTTAGATGATAAAAAAGTTGTTTTATAAAAAAACCAACGGAAATAAAACTTACTAATATGATAATCTTATTAAATTATGATAATCTTACTAATATAATAAAACTATAATTATTTAATTTAATTGTAGCAAGGAGTACTTTTTATTTTTTCAGCAAGTATTTTAAGTTTAAATGTTTACTTCTGAATAGGCGAATGTGAGTGGGTAGAAAAATATCTATCATTAAAAAGAAGAAAAAAAAAAAAGAATAGCTTTTAGCTTTTTCTTTTTGAGTTGATAACCTTGTGATGAGCTTCCAAGCAAAACAAGCATTCTTAATCATTTTAAAAGGCGAAAATGTCCACTCCAAGAAAGAGCCACTCAATATGATAGATTCACAAAGTCATCTTTTTTTTTTAAAAAAAAAAAAGATAACAAATTTGTAGGAAAAGCATCACACAGACTGCAATAAGTAACCAAAATTTTTTAATATACTACTGCAACAACAAAAACCACACGTTTAAATCTTTAAAATTTATTCAATTTAAAAAAATGTAAAGCATTTTTAACAGAATCTCACCCTATAATAAATTATTATTTTTAAATCAATTATATTTTTTTATATTTACCTCTATTAAGTACCCTACAATAAATATAAAATCATTCATTAATAGAGACATTTTTAAAAAAAATTAATGATTACACATCAAAAAATTAAAAATATTTTATATTTTTTAAATGTCTAACTTCTCAAAAAAATATCTTATATTTATAAACAAAAAAAGTGTACATTTGAGGGAAAAAATATGCTAACCAAAAAGGTTATAGTTGTGTGTGAAAGCTTTGAGCGGAAGGAGGCTGGCTAATGGGTTCATTACTCTCTTCTGCCCAAAAGAATCATTTCTTTGAAGGTTTTTTATTTTTAAAATACTTATCACTTGTTGGTAAAAAAAAAATGGTCACTTTACATTTTTGATGCATTATAGTATTTTTTTAAATTATTCTACCATTGATTAATATGAAAGAGAATATAATGTCTTAGTGCAAAGCAATTTAGTAAAATCTTGTTAAGTTTTTCCTCAATTCATGTTCTTAGATGATTCTCCCATATCTTATTTGATTACTATAAAAGATTGGAATGAAATGAATTAAAAAAATAAAAATAAAATTAAGATTATCAAAAGGGGTACAGATGAACTATATTTATAAAAGATAAGGATAATTAATTTATGATGTTGAGAATTATAATTTATGATATTTTTAAGAGTGTGATAATTTTTATATTTGTAGTATATATTTATAAATTTTATCATTTGACCATTAGAAATAAGAGTGATTTAGTTTATTTTTATTTTTATTTTTTAATTCATTTTATTCTTTTTTAATAACAAAACGGACCTTATGATAGTCACTACTCCTATCTTTTTTTGTAAGTAAT